TAGTATTCTCAACTGGACTGATCTGAGAAGTATTTCATGTTAGGTAAATTCTTTTTACAAGCCAAATGATGTATGTATAATGATTGAATGTTTAAAAAATAAGAATATAATAATAATTATAATAATCTGAAGAAAATATTTGCTGATGATATGTATAATAATATCTTTGTCTTGACTGATATGCATAGTAATTGTGCTGGGAAGAGAAATGTTATACAATATAAAGATATATGTGATTAAATGTAATATAAATATATATTTTAAAAGAAATAAAATTAAAAATAAAAAAATAAATAATAGCTAAAAACTTTACAAATCTTGAGAGATGGAATCCAGGAATATGAAGCTTAGAGGTCTCCAAACAGGATCAACCTAAAAGGACTTTACCAAAACACATTATAATCATGAGCTGGTCAGACACTTGAGGAATTCCTACAGGACCCAATCCTGTTTCTGTCACAGCTTCCAAACCCAATCTTCCTTAAAAACTCTCAAATTAACTTAGGGAATTCAAAACACAAGTTTGGGGTCTGAAAGAGAACTCACCTACTCACCTGTGACCTCGGCTACTGTAAGAGAATGCAGTGGTATAGTAGATCCTGACAGGTACCTTCTCGTGATCACTCAGCAAGGGTTTGCTGGAGATCTAATTTGAATCCCACTTCTGACACCAATTTGTTTTTTTAAAAATGAAAAAAACACAAAGCTTTAGGCAAATTAAATTTAGTAGAATTAAATTGAGCAAACTTGCAAATTAGCAGTCCTTGTAACCAGCAGAGGTTCAGAGAGCTCCACCCAGCAACATGGTCAGATATGTCATTTATGGATAGAAAATGAAAGTGGAGGGACCAGCAGCTGGCATAATGGTTACATTGTTGTACTCCCATATGGTCTACCACCGTTTGAGTCTCGGACCCAGAGGCTTGAAACTCATGCTGGGTGTGTGTATATGTGTGCCCCGAATCACAAGAGGTAAAGAGAGGAGAAGGGATTGTGGTTGCCCATCCCCCCGGGGGATGATTTCTTGCTTTCTGTGTCTCTGTTCCTCTCCATAGTGAGTGCATGTGCCTATAGAAAAAAATCTCTCTTAAAAAAAAAAGAAAGAAAGAAAGAAAGAAAGAAAGTGGAACACAGAGACAGCTTGATTGATTATAGCTCAACATTAGCCTCTTTTGAATGTGGTCTGATCAGTGAGCTACCTGAGATTGTCTGAAGTTTAGTTACTGTGCTTGGCTGAAACTCCACTATGTGTTACAAAAGTGTACAAAAGTATACTCCTATATTAGGAGTATTAGGCTTTTAGTTAGTTTATATAGTAAATTAAATTGCTGTTCATTACATAAGTACTCATGTATGAACGCATACTAAGACCAGATTTAGTTTAACAATAGTAATAGTGATAATAATAACAGTAGCTTATATTTCTGTTGTACTTTCTTATTTACTGAGCATTTTACCATATGTTTCATTTAGTCCTCAGAACAAACATATGAAGTACACAAAGGAATTTATACTATTGTCATTTTTATTGCTGAGGATACAGATGTTTAGAGTGGTTAAATGACTTATCTAACTACAGTGTTTAAATGAATAAAGATGGAACTTTTTTGTGTGATGATGAATGATAGCTATAAAAATGCTTTGAAAATTTCTTTGGCAAAAATGTATATTTTATATTAACAGGTTTAAAACCTCAAAAAGGTTTTTGGACCCATTGGAAACTAAAAGAACTCTTCACAACATCTATACATGGTAGCAAGAAAGCACCTTCAAAATCAGTAAAGGAAAGGATTGCAAGCAGCCAAGAACGCATAATGACAAGTAAGTTTATTTTTCTTTTATTTCATGTAAAAAAAAAAGAGAACAATAGAGATAAATAGAGGTAGGGGGAGAATGGTATCTTCAACAGGATCTTGCTTTGCCACAATCCTTGCCCCAACTTTCAGACCAGCCAGAGTGATGGATGCATAAGGGCATGCCTAGAGTGTTCAGGTCAACCTGGAATCTGAACCCAGGTCTCTTATATGGCTCTAGTATTTTGCAGTAGTACCATATCACCTGTGCCACCGCTTTATAATTTTCAAGGCTACGTTAGTGATAGTAAAATGCATGCCTACAATATCAAATTCTACCTACAGTTAATATTGTCTTACTTAACTTAAAATAAAGGAACTTGGAGCAGTAATATCAATGGATTCCTTCCTTGTCTTTTGTGTTCTTGTTGCATATGTTAGATTCCACATGGATAACAGACTAATGTTATGTAGTGTAATGACCTTGTTTCAAATCTTACATGGGCTTTTTTGTGTTAGTGATATCTAAATGATATAAAGTAAATTGAATATATTTTAAAATCTGGAAGTTGATTAGTTTTGATGTATGTATAAACCCATAAAATCATCAAATATCTCAAGATAGGAAACATATGTATCACTCCCAAAAGTTCCTCTTGCTTTTATGTGTGCGTAATTCCTCCCTATCATTCAATCACCAGTCATTTATGTTATTTGTATCACTATAAATTAGTTTACACTTTTCTAGAATTTTTTTCAAAAGAATTTTTGTTCAAATGGAATTATAGAGTATATGCTATTTTTGACTGGCAATTTTTACTCCACGTAATTGTTTTGAGATTCATTCATGTTATGCATACATTAATAGTTTGTTCTTTTGATAGCTGAGTAATAGTCCATATAGAACATAGCACAATTTGTTTATTCATTCACCTATTGATAAACATTTCCATGTTTTCAATAGTTAGCTCTTATAAATAAAGCTGCTGTGAACACTTATGTACAAGTCTTTGTATGAACACAGGATTTTTGTATAATGTATAGCTTTTTAAGAGATTACCAAACTCATATACAAAATTGTGCATTTCTACCAGTATACAAGTTATACCTACTCTACTTTCTCACTAATACTTGTATAGTCTTTTTTACCTAATTTTACTATTCTTGTGACTTATGTATTGTTTTGTTGGTTTTTGTTACTTTTACTTTTTACTTATTATTTTTTACATTCAATCACTGTGTGTCATTTCAGCATACCAAAGTGAATTTTCCCATCCTGAATACACTGTATAGTTAATCAATGATATTATCATACATATTATTATCAACAAATAATTTTCCACTGTGTCCCTTAAATGTTTCGCTTCTTTCTTTTTGCCCTTAATTCCCTCCTTCTCACCCTCTCCCATTTCCCACCATCCTCTCACACAGTCTTTGGTATCCACAGTTGCTCTCCGTGCCTTTATACCATCTGACCTTTCAGTTTATGCCATTGAGGGCAGACATTCAGTATATATTGAGTGGGGACATACAATGCCTCTTTCGTAGTTTGTCTTGCTTTACTTAGCAGTCAGCTTTCTATATTCATTCATTTTCTATCTAATGCTAAAGTCTCATTTTTTTTTTATGGTTGTGTAGTATTTTTGAGTGTATCTGTGCCACACTTTTTCAATCCATTCATCTGTTTGTGGACATTTGGGTTGGGTTCATGACTTAGCAACTGTGAATAATGCTGCAATAAAAAATGAATGTGCAGGTGGTTTTCTGACTGAGTGCATTCCTATCCTTTTGGTAGATACGTATGAGTGGGATTGTTGGACATATGGTAGTTCTATTTGTAGGTCTTTGAGGAATCTCAATATTGTTCTCTACAGTGGTTGTACTAATTTACACCAACAATGTACATTCTCTTTTCTCCACAGCCTCACCAGTGCTTATCACTCTTTATTTATTTTTTAAATCTTGGCCATTCTGACTGGGATAAAATGTATCTCATTGTAGTTTTGATAAATGTAGTCATGTAGTTTTGATAAATGTAGTCATTGTAGTCATGATAAATGATATTGAACATTTTTTCACATGCTTTTTGGCTGTTTGTATGTCTTTCTTAGAGAGTTACCTGTTCAACTCAGTTGCCCATCTTGTAATTGGGTTGATCATTTTTTCTTTGGTGAGCTGTTTGAGTTCCTTGTATATTCTGGTTATCAGTCCCTTATCTGAGGCATAGTTTGCTAATCTATTCTCCCATTCCAGGGGTTGTCAATTTGGGGTTTTTTTTTTATGTTTTTGTTTTGTTTTGTTTTTGTTTTTGTTTGTTTGTTTGTTTGTTCATTTTTTGCTGTGCCAAATCTTTTTAACCTGATGCAATCCCACCTGTCTATTTTTTAAATTATTGCCTGTGCTTTGGGGTCTTATTTAAGCAGCTTTGCCTAGTCCAAACTCTTCAAGAGTTTACACTATGTTTTCCACCAGTAGTTTTGTAGTTTGAAGTCTTAGGTTTAGATCCTTGATCCATTTAGAGTTGGTTTTTGTTACTGCTGAGAGACAGGGGTTCACTTATGTATTGTATTAGTTAAGGTTTTATTTTCATTTCTCTTGTGACTAATGATAATGACATCATTCCGTGTGTTTATTTGTTAGCTGTATATCTTCATTGCTGAAGTGTTTGTTCAAATATTGGCCATTTTTATTTAGATTGCTTGTCTTATTAGTAGTGCAATTTTAGATACAAGTTCTGTGTGTGTGTGTGTGTGTGTGTGTGTATGTATGTAGCAAATACTTTATATATACTTATGTATAATGTATATATTATGTATTTTATACAATATATAAATGCACATAATATTTCATATATAATAATTTAATATTTATATATTATGCTTATATATTAAGATTAATATGTTTATATATTTATTATAAATATATTTTATTA